GTCACGAATAAGCTCATAACCGAGTCCTGTTGAGCCTACGTTACAACCCTTTGTTTTTCATTACTTTTAAAATATTTTAAAGCCTGTTCCTTTGACTTTCCTTTCAGAACCCACTGCTGCTCCTTTAAATGTGACGGGACATAACACCAGCTCAACTAGCATCTTAGTAGAGTGGGGTGATGTTCCAGCATTTGATCAAAATGGTATTATTACGAGTTACAACATTACTTACAGCTCGCAAACAGAGAATCTTAATGGGTTTGCTGAAGCTGCTCCCATTGACCGTCGAAAGGAATTAACAGGTCTTAGAAAGTTTGTCAATTACAACATCACAGTACGTGCGTCGACTTCGAAAGGCGATGGACCAGAGAGTAGCCCTATTGTTGTTAGAACAGGCCAGGATAGTAAGTATTGTTCTTAGACACGGTCTCTCTTGACCACATTGAAGACTCGTATATGAAAGCCAAAAATAGTTTTCTAATCCATGTTTAGTTCTAAAAAAAACCAAAATAGACGGTTTAGAATGAAGTTAGCTCCATTTTCCTAAAAGAAAGGAAAATTAAAACAAACAACGAAACAAAGAAAAAGTCAAATGAATTAACAAAGCTGTGAAAGTCCGAAGCAGTCCATAACGGCGACAATCAATTGGATGTTGAAAGTGTGATTTCAAGATTGTTTTTAAAAGAAAACGGTGGTCCCTAAGATATCAGGATTAAAATTATAATAGAGCTTGCTCAGACTTCAAATGGCAGCAAAACAGATAAAGAATACTATCATTAAACAGGATTTGGTGAAGGTGGTTTCTTTTAACATCTGTCATCCGTTGCACCACTATTTTATAAGTTCCTACTTGAGCAACGCGAGTATCATACGATGGTTTCGGCCTCTGAGTTGCCAATGAATGATTAAGCTGATGTATGGTTACCTTTGAAACCATAGATCTTTTTGCTAGCTATTGCAAGGCTTTGAGTATTCATAATTACCCGAATCCTTATCTTGACAGGACGATACTCAAGCTTTCGTCAAATGAGCGTCACGTGTCATACTACGAAGCTTTTACTTATTAAACGCCAGGAAGAGGCAATTGGTCTAAAACACTCTCAATCATTGTCGCTTGCGAGCAGGGCCTTCAGATTAGCGCCGTGGTGAGAGTTAAGTTCACCGAGCTGGCGAGAGGTGTGCAAAGGATCTGACACTTAATGATGAGGTGCAAGAAAACTGAAGTCCTCTCGCCAGTTACCGTTCGGCAAAGCCTCAAACTTACACGTGGGCGAAGAAACCCTAGTACTAAAGCGCAGATTAGTAGGGCTTACTTGAAGGCTTAAATAGCTAATTCCCGTGTCTCGCTTTGAGAAGTTCCACATGAATCTTCTCTATCAACTTATGTCTACGGATCTGTTTCTGAATATTTGTTTGCACAGGATATTCAAGGGCCACGTCACACTCGTGGCGAAAATAAATCTCTTTAGCATATAATCATGACAAACACACGACCTAATTAACAACTAAGCTGTCACGAATAAGCTCATAACCGAGTCCTGTTGAGCCTACGCTACAACCCTTTGTTTTTCATTACTTCTAAAATATTTTAAAGCCTTTTTCTTCGACTTTCATTTCAGAACCCACTGCTGCTCCTTTAAATGTGACGGGACATAACACCAGCTCAACCAGCATCTTAGTAGAGTGGGGTGATGTTCCAGCATTTGATCAAAATGGTATTATTACGAGTTACAACATTACTTACAGCTCGCAAACAGAGAATCTTAATGGTTTTGCTGAAGCTGCTCCCATTGACCGTCAAAAGGAATTAACAGGTCTTAGAAAGTTTGTCAATTACAACATCACAGTA